CATGAGTTTGTCATTTGTGTGGATGGACGGGTGCGTTCGGAGTGATTCTTTCAGGCATCTTAGATTGTTCATAGTGATAGGGAGTCGTGGTTTCTTGGTGTCCCCTAATGACCTTTTGATGCCAAGTAGTGTACGTTGTAACTGAACGTTGTCCAAGATGTTGTCTGGTTGACCTGAGTCAGTGTGTAGATGGATAATGGCCGCCAGGTAGACCTTAATGGTTTTGTACATTATGCCAGTCTGAGCTAGGTAGGTGGCGAATAGTATGGTTGTTTGTGGTGTGACTGGGTATGCTGGTAGCCAGTATAGGTCACAGAAGTTGTGGTAGTGGTTTTGGCAGACTTGGTATGTTCGACGGGTTGAGTCTGCGATGCTGCATTGCATTTACAAATGTGCTTGTGTACTTCGGTGTGCGGCTGGTAGTTCTGAGATATGATGCGCTCTGGGAGTAGATCGGGTGGAATTGGAGTAGCGGCTTGGTCGGCTGTTAGAACCAGTTACTTGAAGCGTTGCATCTGTGAACGAGAAAGTGAATCGGCAATAGAGTTATTGACGCCATTAATATGGGTGATCATAACATGAAAGTTCCCTTTTGCAGCAACGAAGAAGATTGCCCGGACAAGGCGCATGATATTTGAACATCGTGTTGATCCTTTCTTCTAGATGTTAACGACGGCTTCATTGTCACAGTCGAACAGTATCCAATGACCGTGCCAGGAATTCCCTCAAATTGAACAAGCGATGAGAATAGGATACATTTCCTTCCATTCAATGGATGTTGGAAAATATGCTGCCCCAGCATTTTGACAAAACCCGTACTTTACTGATTGAAGACATAACATGTGCAATCGAGCTACACGTCCAGTCACGTGCCTCCATTTCGTCATGGCTGCATCATCAAAATTGCGCCTACATTCACCTCAGTCTGTGCCGTTCGTGCGTACACCAAGTATCGCAGCATCTGTGCCCCATCACCCCAAACGCCTGCCTTCCAGTTCCACTCAGGGAGTTGGCTTACACGTCAAAGCCTAACTACCCACTTGCTGGACCTGTTGACAGCTTCAGACGAGGGGCAGCAACAACCGCAGCAGAAGCGAACGTGCCAGATTGGTTAAACAAGACTCTAGGAAGATGGCGAATCGACGCATACCAAGTGTATATCGACATACCTTCGTCAACGCTACAAGCCGTGCCTCAAATCCTCTGCGGACATTCATCTTAGGCACCTCCTCCTACTACCTGTGGATTCTCAACCTCACGTGACTCTCACACTGGCATCTCGTTTGCCACATCCACGTACTTGTGTTATGCCGTGGTGCCATTTTCGACCATCCAACTTTGTACTCGCTCATTATTACCTCGTTAAATTTATTTACATGAACCATATTTCGCTTCAGACATTTACCTCGACATGTTCGTATCATCTATTTCACTGTAGGTCATGTCGACCAACTCTTGTTTTTTATATATCAAGAACAACATCACAGTTATGTACTTTTATGCCACAACATGTATTTATACTGATTCCTCGGCTTGCTTGTCGCTGCGCCATTCCCGGCCATCTCATAATTTGGGGGTTGTCATCGAGTGCATGCTGGCACCACTCGATTAACACGCTGCCATTCTTCGTGAATAGAGTCAAACATGCGATTTTGTGCACGGAAATGGTATCCGCAACGACGGTCGGGTGGTGACCCCTGCGTTAACTGGCCTCGATCAAGTACCATGCTAATCTCTCCGTGATGTGAATCAAAT